TGCTGCTGCTGCTGCTGCTGCTGCTGCTGCTGCTGCTGCTGTGTGCTGCAGCGGTGGCTGCGGGTGATCGCGACGCTGGACGCCTACTTTGCGCGCAGCAGCAGCAGCCCCGAAGCAGATGGGGCCCTTACAGATTTGCCGCTGTCTTTGCTGCTGCCGGCGCTGCAGTTCTTTTGCGGGGACGAAGAGGGCATTGCTGCGCGCTGCTGCTGCTGCAACCAGTGCCTTGGCTTCCCCAGCAGCAGCAGCAGCAGCAGCAGCAGCGAGGGGAAGGAGTGCTGGCAGAGGAGCAGCAAAGTCTGGAGGGACTGCCTCTACAGAGTGCTGCCCAGACATGACCTGCACAACGACCTCTGCGAAATCGTAAGAACTTCGCACCCCACGATCCCACACGATCCCACACGATCCCACACGATCCCAGACGATCCCAGTGGATCCCACTCGATCCCAGAGTGTTGCTGCAGCTGGAAGTGGCCACAGGAGCACAAGTGTGTTGCGAGCAGCAGCTGAGACGCTCTGTTGAGGACTGCCTGCTGCTGCGCTGCTGCTGTGCTGCTGCTGCAGCTGGTCAGCAAGAGCCTTGGCTGTTTCTGCCTCCGCAGCAGCAGGGAGCAGGAAATTGCCAACCAGCTGAGGGCCTACAAAGCCACTTTGTTAACATCTTTGGAGCAGATGCAGGCTGCTGCTGCTGCGCTGCAGCAGCTGCAGCACGAGATGCAGCTGCTGCAGCTGCAGCACAGGCACCACTTGCGCGTGGCGCAGCACTTGCAGGAACGGCTCCAGAAGCAGCAGCAGCCGCAGCAGCAGCTGCAGCAGCAGCTTCAAGAAGCAGAAGCAGCAGCAGCAGAAACCGCAGAAAAAATGCATGAGGCAACTGAACAGTCAAAGCAGGTACAGTCCAGGGTTTAGGGTTTAGGGTTTGGTGTTTGGGGTTTAGAATAAGCAAGAAAACGTCGAATTATCGCATTCCTTACACGGCTGCTGCTGCTGCTGCCACTGATGCTGCTACTGCTGCTGCTACTGCTGCTGCTACTGCTGCTACTGCTGCTGCTGCTCCTGCAGCACGAGAGGGACTTCGCGGGCCACACGCAGCGCTGCGAGCTGTACGTCTCCTTTTTAGGGGATTTGCTGCTGTGTCATCCTTCCATGTTGCGCCGCGAAATAGCGAAGCAGCACGTGCAGCAGCAGCAGCAGCATTGTGAGGAGCAGCAGCAGGAGCCTCAGCAAGGCGAAGCGGGCGCAGCAGCAGCAGCAGCAGCAACAGGAGAGTGCCTGCTGGATTTGCTGTGGAGAATAGTGACTGCAGCAGAAGCAGCAACAAAGCGACTGCAGTCCTTCGCCCTGCGGGTGCTGATGAAGCTGCTGCTGCTGGGCCTAGTGCAGCAGCAGCAGCTGCAGAAGGAGCAGCAGCAGCGGCACGACCAGCAGCAGCAGCAGCAGCAAGACATGGAGCAGACGCAGGCCGTGCTGGCTAGCAGATTTGAAGTGCTGCTGGAGGCCCTTTACCTGCAGCCTGTGCTGCAGCACCAATATAGGGAACACGAGAAATATGTGAGCCTGCTGCTGGCAGCAGCTCCAAGCAGCAGCTAGCCTTCTGCTGCTGCTAGCAGCAGCAGCAGCAGGTAGCCATCTGCTGCTACTGCTAGCAACAGCAGCAGCAGCTAGCCATCTGCTGCTACTGCTAGCAGCAGCAGCAGCAGCTAGCCACCTACTATTAGCAGCAGCAACTGTAACTAGCCGTCTGCTGCTGCTAGCAGGAGCAGCAGCAGCTAGCCAACTGCAGCGCAGCAAGCAGTAGCCGCAACAATTAGGAAATGCACAAGTAGCTAACAGCAGCTAGCAGCAGCTAGCAGCAGCTAGCTGCAGCAATATTTGCTGCGTGGCCTTGCTTTTAGGCATTTGTCTCTTTGGTACAAGTGCCTTGTTTGTTTTTTCGCGGGATTGCATTCCTGCTGCTGCTGCTGCTGCTGTGCGGTTGCTTCTGCTGCTACCTCGCTGCTGCTGCTGCTGCTGCTGCTGCTGCTGCTTGGGTTTTGCTGCAGATAATGTCCCCAACTCTCGTTGGGCTCTCTGCTGAAGACAAGACTTTTATTTCCTGCTGTTTGTCTCTCTGTTTATCTCCATTTCTTCCTGGGGGCCCCCAGGGGCCCCGTGCTGCAGCACTGGGGGCCCTTGCTGCTGCAACGCAGCGGCTGCTGCGGCGGGGCCTCAGAGGCGCGTTTGTGCTGCAGCTGCTGCAGCAGCA